AGGGGCTGGAATTTTTTTTTTAATTCTTATTATCAAACTCTAAAAACATTTTTATATATATTTGTCTATTGTACTATTTATTTTTTAAATAATTATTTTTATTTCACTGTATTTATTAGTTTGATCAGAGAGAGAGAGGGAAATTGAGAAAGCAAGTCATCAGGTTCAGGACTTGAACCACGGTCAGCCATGTGGGAGTCCAGCACCTTTAACCACCATGCCACCCACTGGCCACTCTATTGTATTATTTCTTTTAAAATGTTGAAGGAATTATAAAATAACCTTATTTACTAATCACCCAATTTCAACACTTTACCACTATTTATGAATACATTTTTGAAACTGTCAGTGGACATATGCACTCAGGAGAGGAAGAGAAGGAGACTTATTCATTCAACTATTCATTGAGCAATCACCCTGCAGCAGGATTGGGCAGGCTGTTTGGAACTATGTAAATAACATAGACCCAGTCCATGACTTCATAGAATCCACCATTGAAAGCAGGGGTCAGCAAACTATGACCAACAGGCTTAACCCCAGACAGCTACCTGTTCTAGTAAACATATTATTATCTTGTAGTTTCATTAGAACATGCCATGCCCTTCTCACTTCATATTTACTGTGGTTGTCTTTTACAGTAGAATAGTGCAATTGAATAGATGTAGAGACCATGGACCAAAAATCCTAATATATTTACTACTTGTCCTTTCGCAGGAAAAGCTTGCCGACCACTGTTCCAGAAGCAATTAATAATACAATTTTCTGTGCAAAAATTATGAACAGGTTGCATCATTTTGTCAGATTATTCTTAGTTATTTAGTAACAAGCTTCTTTCCTTTTATTTTTTCTGTAGGGTGCTTGCCAGAGAAAAAGAGAAAAAGTGAGAGAAATCACCTCTCCCAGGGGGATGGCTATGCCGCCATCATTTCTCTTCTATCGCCCCTTGGGATTTGGTCCGTGCATGCACACATGCCTGGTGTGATTTTCAAGCTGCCACATACAGGACTCAAACCGTGCAGTTGGCCATGTGGGATTCAGCTGTTTTAACCTCTAGGTCACCTGCTGGCCTTAAATTTATTTTTCTATTTGTTGCTTGTAAAGAGAAATACATTTGATTTTCTTTTCAATTTGCCAGAGGGCACATGCATTCACTAGAATAATAAATGATTATGACAACTGCACATCCCAGAAAACTGTTTTAAACATTTAAATCTTGAATGGAATTTGATTGCTCTTATATAACTGTTGTTTGAGGAATCGGTATTATAATTACATAATAGAAGGATGGAATTTTTTTTTTTGAGAAGTTTTTTGCTATAGGGCGCATGCGCTAGCCAGACAGGCAGAGAGAGTGAGAGAGAGAGACAGAAAGTGAGAAATCACCCCCCAGGGGGGATGGCCACGTCACAATCCCTTCTCCTTCATTCTCTTCTCAGGATCTTGGGCACGCACACACACGCACCCAGCATGAGTTTTAAGCCACCCAGTCCGGGACACGAATTGCGGTCGACTGCATGGGAGTCCAGTGACATAGCCATTACACTAACTGCTGGTCCCACCTGGTGTGTTTTTCAAGCCACAAGGTCTAAGATTTGAATATCACACTTGACTATGTAGGATCCAGCTGTTTTAACCACCTAGCCACTGGCTGGCCATGAATTTTGTATTGACTTCGTAGCAAATGAACTTCTTAATCCATTTATGAATTCTAATAATTTATGCATTTGTATATTATTATACAATCATGTCATATGCAAAGAATTTTACTTTTCTAATCCTTATATCTTTTAGTTTTTTTATTTAATGCTCTACTTAGTTCATTAAATAAAAATGCTAATAGTATCCTGTCTCTTTCCTAGTCAAGTAAAAAGCTTTACTAATTTTTAAAAAAATTTTCCAAAGAGTGCACGCCCTTGCCAGAGATACGCAGATAAAGTACCCCCTCAATGGGGCATGGTCATGCTTTAATCCCTTCTCTTCCACCTCTCCATCCTGTTGGGATTTTAATCACCCAGGCATATGTGCCAGATTCCAATGGTATAGTCAGCCAGGTGTGATCCACCCAGCTTTCATTTTTAAATAGAAAATTTTCATGGAAATACCTTCATATAGCCAAGGAATATAAGAAGACTTTAAAAGAGAATTATTCTACAACTTTATTTTGGTGCAAGAAGTTTTTTTAAATCTAGTTTTTCCATAATACATGTTTTCCGCTAACTTCTCAAAGACACTTCATACAACATCCTTCTTTCTAAATACTTTTCTGAGCTTTCAGATTACACACATTGGTTTTACTTTTATTTTGCAAGCATTATCCTTACATATTATATCATTATTCTATAACATTTTAACACCTACATGGTATTTCATTATATGCTTAAAACTGGATCCATTTAACAAACTCCTATTGCTGTCTTTCTGATTTAGTGACAATTAATCACCTTTTTGTTCTAATTTTTTTCTTTTTTTTAAAAAAAATTTTCAGCTAGCAGGTGGCATCATGGTTAAAGGCACTGGACTCCCACATAGCCAACCACAGTTTAAGTCCTGAACCTGGAAGCTTGCTTTCTCACTTTCTCTATTCTGACTATTTCTGGTCAAAATAAAATAATGAAAGCGTGATATAAAATGATTGCCAAAAGGCACATGCACTAACTGGAGAGAGAGAGAGAGTGCACTCCCACCATGGGGGATAGTCACATTGGAATTCCTTCTCCTCCATCTCCTTCTCCTTTCAGGATTTTGGGCACACAGGCATACACACCCACTACATTTTTCAAGTTTCCAGATTTGGGACTTAAACATGTGCCCAGTGTGATTTTCAAGCTGATGGGTCCAACACTCGAACCATGTAGTTGACCATGAGGGATCCAGTTGCCTTAACCACCATGCCACATTGGCTGGCCCATTGTTCTCATGTTTCTACTACCACTTCTACTTATAGAATGGTAATTATGTAGGGGCCATTCTAGGCGCTCTCTGGACTACTAAGCTAAGTTAGGCCTTGAGAAGTTTACAATTCGGTTAGAAGACATTATGCACAGATGAGAGTGAGGAAGGGCAAGTGTGGCACATTTTGGAATAAAAAGGATCTGGGAGAAGTATAAGCTGAGCCTGGAGAGGAAGGCAAAATTGGATCGCAGGGGCTAAAAGCCATGGTAGGGATTTGGGATTTTATGCTGTGAGAGGTGGAGATAAAGTGCCTTAACACAATACATTTAAAAATATTCCTCTGGCTGGCTCTTTTCATCTTTTTTTGGAGAGGTTTCTGCTATCAGGCACATGCGCTTGCCAGAAAGACAGAGACAGAGAGAAAGAAAGTGAGAAATCACCCCCTCAGGGGGTATGGCCATGATGAAATCCCTTCTCCTCCATTCTCCTCTTGAGATCTTGGGCACACATGCACATGTACCTGGCATGAGTTTAAACCTCCGGGTCCAGGACTCGAACCGTGGTCAACTACATGGGAGCCCAGTGATATAACCATTACACCATCTGCTGGTCCCACCATCTTTTACTTTCTTCAATCTCATAATGGATCTATCAGCAGATGTTACTTGTCTTTGACCACTCCGACCCCTCATCACAAAGTTAATCTCAGTGTGATGACACAGCTCAATAATACATGACTCTCACTTTAAATCATTGAAGAATGTGTAGATGAAAGTTTCAAGGATGAAGAAGAGGGATTTATACTACACATCACAGCAAAAATTTAATATCTTTGAAAATTGTCCTCTCCCCTGCCACCCCCCCACCATTCCAAAGTTCACATATATCAAAGCTCCCATTTTTTTCTTTGTGCCAGAGGGCACATGTGCTGGGGAGAAAGAAAGTACTTTGTAACAGACTAGTTATCGCAATCCTTTTTCCTTCAATTTTCCACCCCTTCAGGATCCCAGACACAACACACCCTGGGCATGTTTTTCAACCCACTTGGACCAATGGCACCTGGACAGGAACCCTGGTCTTCCATGTAGTATCTGGCTTCCTCTACATCATACTTAACCACTGTACTTTGGGACCAGCTCTACAATTCTTTTTTTTTTTTTTTTTTTTTTTTTTTTTAATTTTTTTATTTATTTAATTCCATTTGTTGTTATTTTTTAATTTGACAGAGACAGAGAGGGAGAAAGGGAAATAGAAAGCAAGCCGCCAGTTCCAGGACTTGAACCACGGTCAGCCATGTGGTAATCCAGTTCCCCTTTTAAAAAAATATTTATTTAATTTTATTTATTATTTTTTAATTTGATAAGAAAAGGAAAGAGAGGTAGAGAGAAAGAATGAGAGCGTACAAGCCACCAGACCAGGTCCAAGACTCGAACCATGCTTGGCAATGTGGGAGTCCAGCACCTCAAACACCATGCCACCTGCCAACCCTGGGAATTCAGCTCCTTTAACCACCAGGCCACCTGCCATTCCGCCCTCCCACCGCAAGTCTTTTGGATCTTAATATGTGTTTTGGCCTTTCATTTTTGAATTGTAAACATGTACTGTCTGTTTTTTTTTTTTTTTTTTCCCTAGAGGTTTTTGCTATAGGGCGTGTGCACTAACCAGAAAGACAGAGAGAGACAGAAAGTGAGAAATCACCCCCGAGGGGGGATGGCCACGCCGCAATCCCTTCTCCATTCTCCTCTCAGGATCTTGGGCAAGCAATGAACACGCATCCGGCGTGAGTTTAAGCCACCGGGTCTGGGACTCGAACCACAGTTGGCTACATGGGAGTCTAGCGACATAGCCATTACACCAACTGGTCCCGCTCTCTGAGTTTTGCAATGATATTTTCACAATATTTTAGAATAAAAGAGATTTATTTCTTTTTAAAAAATGATTTATTTATTTATTTATTTAAATTTGACCGGAGAGGGACAGAGTGAGAGAGAGCGAGAGAGACGGAAAACGAGAAAGCAAGCCACCAGGTCCAGGACTCGAACCGTGGTCAGCCATGTGGGAATCCAGTGCCCCCAACCACCATGCCATTTGCCAGCCCCAAAAGAGCTTCATTTTTGACAATACTTTAAGGAGGCCCATGGCAGACTCCACTTCAAATTTACAAGCATGAGTTTTAGTGCCTTTGTCCACCTCTCTTCTGTGTTCAAATGGGTTCTAATGGAGTAGGACTCCCCAGTCCCTTCGGCATCTTCCACCAGACCTCTGTCCACATGTATCCTATAGGGCAGGCAGAGGCCTGCCTCTCGAGGGGGGCGGCAGGCCCCCTGCCTCTCCTTTCTCAGCCTCTTCTATGAACTGCTGCATGCAGTCCAAGAAGGCCATCATGGCACGGTCAAATTTGTTATCACAGAAAACACTCTGCCCGCCATGACAGAATAAAGGCAGCTCAACAGAGTCATCTGTTAAAGACTTCAGAAAGGAGTGGTTTCCACAGGGAATGAGTCGATATCTCTGAAACTCCAGTCCGATTGTTTTGGACAGGGCGAGGAGCAGCAAGGATGTCTGTCCCCAGGCAGCATTAATCTCATTCCAACCCACAGGGACAGTGGGGAGGCAACCCAACCTGAAGTGATTGATGATGCCTATAGAGCCCTCTTCCCAGATCTCAAACGTGGCACTGAAGACACTGGTTTTCTGCAGCCTGTCCAGCTGGACCTGGGCATACCTCAGCTGGTTCTCCGTGCTCCTCAGCTGGTCCTGTAGCTCCAACTGTTGCCATTCCAGTGCTGTGCAGTCCATCTGGCACTGCCTCTCCAGCTGCTCCAGCTCCATGGTCTCTGCCTGGGCGGCCTCTAGATCTGCTGCTACTCTTGCACGGTCCTTGTACACATCCCTCAGCTCCTGGGCCAGTCTTGCCTCCTCCAGCTCCAAGTTCTGCAGCTCTGCCTGCAGTTCCTCCTTCTCCTCCTCACCTGCCTGTACCCTGGTCTCCAGGCAGCGTTCGTAGTTCCGATTCTCAAGTTCTGTGAGAGCCGTCTGAGTGTCCAGCTGCTCTAAAAGGTGGTCAGTACACTCCTCACACAGGGGGTGGTCCACATCTTTTTGGCCAGAAATGATTTCAAAGACATCTCTGGCAGTCTTCTGGATGCTACTGAGAGTTCGCAGGGGACCGAGCTTCCCAAGCAGGGTGAAAATGTTGCTGCTGTCCTTGGACATCGTGCCATCACCAGGAAAGGGCCCACTAGAGGTATCGTCCTGTAGCTTCTCAACTTCCGTCTCCTCCCTGGAGGTAGCACCCGTCTGGGTTTCTCCTAGTTCCCCCTGCACTGAGGCCAGCGTTGGGGCTGCAGGAAGGCCCTGGGTTTCCAGGGGCTGACACAGCTTCAGAGGCTGGTTGCAGCGTTGGCAAATGAATCGAATGAAGGACATTGTGGAGGTCTTGACTTATTCTCCTTCAGTCTAAGCTTCTTCTGGTCCCTTAGTTGCTTATCTTTTTATATCTTTTAGGCTCTTCCTAAAGAGTGATTATTTTTAAATGCATATCTCATCTTGTCACTCTCCTACTTAAAACCCTAGCATGGTACCCTCCTTCATTACCTATAGACTTTTAGCTCCTCATAGAACAGTGATTTGTAAAAAGAAAATCTGATCATCTCACTTTCCCCCTTTAGTGTTTTCAAGACACACCTTAGGAGTAATCTTTCTAAAAGTAAAATCTGATCATGGCGCTTTCCTCCTTAAAGTGTTTAATGACCTTATCTTTTTTTAGGATTAAGTTCAATCACCGTAACCTGATACCAAGACTCATTTTTTCATCTTTTCTCCCCATTTTGTGCCACCCTCATTCATGGGCTTCTCTTTGTTCCTGCAAACAAATTACATTCTAGTTCTCACAATAGGAAGTATTATATTGTTTTCTCTGACTGAAACACCCTGTCTTCCCCTATTTACCTGGCTAACTCCTAGTCATCCTTTTTTACTGATGTTCTTTTTTGTTGGAGAAGCTTTCCTATAGGGCGTGTGTGTACTCTCCAGAAACACAGAGAGAGACAGAAAGGGAGAAATCACCCCCTGGGGGGATGGCCACGCCACAATCCCTTCTCCTCCATTCTTCTCTCAGGATCTTGGGCATACACGCACACGGGCCCTGTGGGAGTTAAAGTCACCAGGTCCAGGACTCGAACCATGGTCGACTACATGGGAGTCTATCGACATAGCCACGACGCCAACTGCTGGTCCCACTCCTAGTCATCCTTTTTTTTTGAGAGGTTTTCGCTACAAGGCACATGCACTCGCCACACAGAGAGAGACATAGAGACAGAAAGCGAGAAATCACCCCCCCAAGGGGAATGGTCACGCCGCAATCCCTTCTCCATTCTCCTCTCGGGATCTTGGGCACGCACGCACATGCGC